GTTGACACATTTGATATACTGTCTTTTGGCTCCACCAAGACCTGTGGGTCTGGAACCATAATCCAAGCTTCCACATCCATCATAAATGTACTGAATATTTCCATTTTAGGTTCATACCAGTCAATCGTCTCATTTTCCTGTATTTCTAGACGTAAAAGTTTCTGCACTGCTCCATGACATGTTTTAAACTCATTTAATGACACTTTGAATTGTTCAAAGACATTTGCAACATAGTCCATATTTTGAGGATTTGACATGAGTGCTTTAATTTCATTCATTCGTCTTGTACATGCACCCAGCTTTCCTCTCCGACTGGCGCTGAGCCTTTTGAGGTCATTTTCAGTTTCGTTGTTCTCCACAATGTCGTTTTGAGCATTTTCCTCATTTCCTTGTTCCACAATTTCATCCATTTTTCACAAATTCGTTCCAGTTTTAATTAATTTCCTTTACAATCCACACATTTGATTACTTCGTACGTATTTGTTCACTTTTCCAGAGCGCACGGTAGCGCTTGAGTTTACTCACGGCACGCAAGCCTTGTGTCTTTACGCATCCAGCGGCGCGGCGTCTTTGATTCATTCATAATTCCAAACTTGTGTCCGCGTCGCAGCGTCTTGACTCCATCTTTGACTTTGTTATGGCTTCTAGTTTAACATGAGCTGTAACACATGTAAATAGCCATCCTTAGGGCGTCCGCTTCTTGACTCACACGAAATGTACAAAAACTCACGTAGTCCGTAGTTCGTTTGATTTCTTTTATTTGCAGATTTTCAGCGTATGCAGTTCAGTGCGGTGCGGTGCGGTGCGGTCAAAGACCGTGTCGGTCGCCCTCCACAATGCCATTCTCCCCAAACACCTGTCTCCCTATTTGACCTGATTATTTGACCTAATTTACCTACCTAGGACACACCCTCTTACGTGGACCCACCCTCTTACGCTATAAACCAAAAGACAAATTGACTGAAGTAACTTAAATTGGGACTGAAAATAAATCATTTTAACATTTCTATAATTTTAAGAATAATATTTTAATAGTTGTTTTTAAGGTATAATAAAATATGAATTTATGGTAAAATATAAAATAACTATTTAATAAATTAAATTATGGCTCTAACAAACAGTAATACAATGTGACCATCTTTTTTTTTTTTTTTTTTTTTTTTTCCTTTTGTTCATTTCTGTGCTCATTGTCTCTTACTATATTGTTTGTTGCCAGTTTGTTGTATCACGGCTTGTCAATTTGCTTGTCGGCTGTCCGAGGCCAGTTCAATACTTCTTATGAATAGAAACTATAACGGATCAGACAAAACAGACAAAAATTAGCATAATCAAAAATAAATACTGAAAATTAACATTAAGAATTTCTCAAAAGCATATGGCCTATACTCTCCTTCTATGTTTTCTCCCTCTCTTCTCCTCCTTCTCTTCTGAAGCCTCAGAGGTGGAATGTAGTCAGAGTTGTCTCTCAGGGTCTCCGGTTCCAGCAATGTCGGGACTGGTCTGTCGACTTTACTCCATCTTCATCCAGAGTAGAACAGAACATGACTGACATGCCAGTCACTGCCTCAGGTGCTTCTCCCATGACATCATGGTGTAGGATGGTAGCACGTTGAAGTACACTGTCCATAGAGAAGACTTGAACAAAGTTCACTTTGTACTGGCCTGGGAATGCTCCACTGCGACCCAAGGTGCCAAGCGTGGACATAGAACCAGCACAGGCATCTCCAGTTGAGGCGCTCAGATGGGCACTCAGTGCAGTTGTGTCGAATGATGTGTCTAAGGCAGGACTGTTGACAGAAGTTGAACATGCACTGTGTCAGCTGGTAACAGAGTCGTCTGCAGAGTGGAACCAGCAAACCACAATAGATCATATGCAGAGCAGTCAGTCACATGCTCTCCATGAAACAGCCAAATCTTGACAGGTGAGTGGTAACACTGGGAATGTCCCATGACGATGGAGGAACTCTCCAGATCACAGCTGTATAAAGTTGTCGTAGTACATGGGCAGCAAGACTGGTAAAAGACAAGAACTCTGGGTAGTTGTTGCAGAGACTAGTGCAGCACACTTAGTCAGGATGGGGTTAACAGCTTTGTCCAGCATATTGTAAGTAGTGACCACAGGCAGGCCACGTCTCTGTGCAGCATGAATGGCTCTCCTCGTGATGGTGAAACTGTCTCGGACATGGATGAAGTTCATGTCAGGGATCTGATCCTTGAGCAAAGAGTCATAGAACTGCTGACCAGACTTGTCCTCTACAGAGTGAGCAGTGTCCCATTGCTGCTTGTAGATGGACTGACCCTTCAGTGACTCCACACTGAAGTCGTTGGTTTTAGTGGACATGATGAAAAAGACCACCAGAGTCACATCACTGCAGTGCAGCTTCTGTAGGTACTTGAGGTGAAACAGAGACTCCAGGAAGATGTCGGCTACTTTGTTGAAGAACTCGTAGCATCTGGTGATAAAGAAAAACAGAGTCTCATCCAGGTTAACGTTCAAATGTCCACAGAAGTGTCCTCACACAACTTCTGGGTTTGCTTTTCTGGTGACGTGAAAGTTCTGGAACTTGTGGATGGCTGAGAACTTATTTGACGTTTGAGACTTGTCAGCCTCTTCTTCAAGCGCTTTTTCAGAAAACCATCAATTGAATTAATGTGACAAATGTGATACATTGGGACATTGTGATATCTCATAGTATTCTTTCATTAAATTGCATTTTCAAATATTATTTACCATGAATTGAATATTGTCTAAGTATTGAAACATCAAGTCTGTTATTTTGGTAGAGTGAATTACTATCAAATGTATTCTCATTTTGCAGTTTGTTTTCTCTTTTTCAAAAAATAGCTGGAATGATTTTTATTTTAGAGTGATTTGTTTCCTTCTCTCATGTTATCACTTCCTGTCCTCAGATCAATTTCTAAAAAGAAAATTTAACTTAGATGAAATTTGAAATCTTAATTTAGAAGCCAGCATTGCCTTGTTACAGTTCCAGTGAAGATAATTTATTTAGAATTAACAATTTTGGTATTCACTTCTAATAACAGTTCATATTGCAATCCTTAATTAATTAAAGCAGGTTTCATAGGAAAATTCATGCTCATAAGAATAATACTGAGATCAAAAAGATAAAAATGCAAGTGAAGTCCAGGTCTGGACAAACTAAACTAGGAAAAGCAGAAATAAAACAAAGCTAAACCAAGGATAAACTAGGATTAAATCAGAACTAAACTAGTACTAATTCAGGATTAAAGCAGATCCAACTCAGACCTAAACCAAGACCAGATCAACTGTAAACCATATTTAAATTTGGATTGAATTTGTAAACCAGCATTGAATCAGAACCAAATCAAGACTAGACCGGGTCCTAATCAGAACCAGAACATTAGTCGCTTCTGTTCAACACTACAAAACCTAAATTTGATCCATGGAAGCTACAAAAATGTGAATTCATTTTGGCGGTAAACATTAAGAGACTACATTCAGTCAAATAAACTTCTGTTATGAACCATGTTAACTGAAAACTCCTAAAATGTATGTATAAAGTAAGAATACACAGAACAGGATTGGTGCTAAATCTGCAGATTGAGAATACATTTAAAAAATAGGCAATTTATTAGGAATAGCAGTTTTTAAACAATTCATAAATGTATATCCTGTAGAGGTGATCTCAAATAATAGCTCCTTAGTTTTTTTGATTGAAAGTGATCTAAAAAAGTGGGAAACTGATTTTTGAAACTTATTTGCAGGATGTTTCGTCTCCTCTTGGAATAATTCTCATTTAGAAATGACAGAAATTCAAAGAAATCAAATAGAGATGCGTACACAGTTTGCTTTTCCTAATTTTTATTTAAATTTTAATATCAAAGAGGATAAAGTAAAAAAGGCCAATGATAAATCAAAAGTCAAAAAAGCCTCTAAAGTTTTTTATTTACTTGTTTTAGGTTTTGTCTTCTCTGACTGGCAAAAATCTATTATCAAACCAATTCTAAAGTTTTCACTGCAGATCCTCGAGTCCCCATGAACTACAGAGGCATCAGCCTTCCTAGTTGTATGTATAACTTTATTCTAATGTTCTTTAATGAGAAACTGATCAGTTATCTGGAATCCTTTAATATATATATATATATATATATATATATATATATATATATATATATATATATATATATATATATATATATATATATATATATAGGCAGAGGAGCATAACGCATTTTAGGAAGAAACGAGCCTGTATAAATCACATATAATATTAGAAAACAAGAGGGAAACCCTACTTTTATTTGTTTTATTGACTTTCAGAAAGCCTTTGACTGTGTAAATCGGAACCTGTTTTATTTTCAGCTGTTACATATTGATATTGACGGCAGATTTTATGATTCAATCTTGGCTATATTTAACATTTATTTTGATAAGCATAAACAAAAGTAACATAATGAAACTTTATAAAAAAAACAAAAAAACGAAATTAAGAACATATATCTTAATTAAAAACTGTTTTAGACCTGAGATATTTGTCACTGTGAACCTTATGTGTGTGTATGTGTGCATATGCGTGTACGTGCTCAGCTGTAGTGTGGGACTTTGCCCTTGGCTCTCCCTCTCTGGAGCTACGCACATGCGCACATGTGTGACTTAAAAAGCACTGAAAATGAAATGCATTTTCTGTTTTGCTGTTCCTTGTATCACGACCTGATCTGTCAGTTGTGTCTAATGTGTCTTACTGTCTGTTTACTATGTCTGATGAGGAAAGACTGAAGCATTTGTTTAATTGCGACACACTCTCTGCTTCGCATTATTTCGTAATAATAATAACCCCCCTGACTCACTGACTACAATGCTCTTTCGTAGAATTGCCCATAACAATATTTTTTATTTGCTTAGCACGAGTACTGTAAGTAGTGACACACATACGGTGAGATAACTCTTTCTTTAGACCTTGCAATGATGAGGTTGTTTTAATGTAATAGCCTAAGTGGTCCCCTTTTTATTCTTATTTATTAATTATGTGTTCTTAATGTTATTACTATTTAAAGACTAACAAGGAAACGGCAAAGTCGGTTTAATCATCATGCTAATTTAATTCAATGTATTTTTTTGTTTTGTGAGTATTATTTTGAAATACTGTGACTTTTCTTTTGAAAAGCGGAAGTTACAATGTTTTGGTAGCGATAGCAGAAATAGCTGTCATTTTGCTCCGATCCATGTCTCGCTGTACAGTGGTGACTGTTTATCAGTGAACAGACGACCAATGTAACTCATCATCAGAAAATTAAACAAGGATACAACATGGAGCGCTTTCTGGATGTCGCACGGTCGAAAATATTTATTTTATTACCTTTTCTCTCCACATTTCTGCTTGTGAAGAGTCAGGGTAATGCCATGAATAATGTCGAAACAGAGAGACAGGCTGAAGAAAGCCACCGACAGGACAGTGCTAACTTGCTTATATTTATAATGCTGCTAACATTAACTATTTTAACGATATGGCTATTCAAGCACCGAAGATTCAGGTTTCTGCACGAAACTGGACTCGCTATGATCTACGGTAAGAAAGCAAAACCGTCGTCCTATGATCAATGAACTTGGCCTCAGTGCTAGCTGTTAGCGTCAAAACTTAACCTGTAAGCTTATTGTTTTTCTAGATACAACCATTTCTAGACTTGCTTTGGCAGAGTGGACCTTGGTCTAGTTAACCATTCACTATTTAATGCTACTGATGGATGTAGATTGGAATCTCAGTTATATAAAAGTCATTCAACAAAGCCTAGGCATTATAATTAAAACTGTATTGTTTCAATATATTATTACTACATTATACTCTATTCCTATTTTGGCAGTTGTATTGCTTAAATTGTAGTGCTTGTCTAAATCACACATACAGATGAATACTCTTTGACAGACCATTACTCACACTTATGTTTTTGTTTCAACCTGTTCAAAAGCCTAGTTAATATAATTTCTCTGTAACGAAGTTTTGGGTTTTAAATTTAGTTATTTCTAACTTTTTTCTCTTGTTATTAAGCTTAAAATCCCATATTTTGTGTCTTGTATTTGTTAATCGTACAGGTTTGTTGGTGGGTGTGATTCTGAGATTTGGAGTACATGTTCCACAAAGTACGAGTGATGTGGTGTTGAGCTGTGCTGTAAATGCCAGTCCTGCCACTCTGCTGGTCAACGTGAGCGGGCGCTTCTACGAATACACTCTAAAAGGAGAGGTCAGCCGCGCCAAAGGTCACCAGGTTCAGGATGATGAGATGCTCCGAAAGGTATATCAATGCTTGAAATATTTTTTAACAAATGAGTTGTTGCTGTGATTCATTTTTTACTCACTTTGTGTGTGTGTGTGTCAGTGGATGGGAAGAATGAGCCTTTTTATATTTTGGTACAGTAGATTGAAAAAAACAACAACATACTAATAATAAAAAATAATAGTTTTAAGTGAAATGTGAAATGATGGCATTATAATGTACACTTTCTATCATCTCTAGGTAACATTTGACCCTGAAGTATTTTTCAACATTTTACTACCACCAATCATCTTTCATGCAGGCTACAGCTTGAAAAGGGTAGGTATTAGCGATAGCAGTTAGCTAATATTATCACCAGACATCAATTAAATTTACATTACATGCTAACTGTATACACAAAAGCATCAATCACCTACTCTGAATAAATTAATTTTTCTATTTATTTTTTACAGAGACATTTTTTCAGAAACATTGGGTCTATCTTGGCCTATGCCTTCATGGGAACAGTTGTCTCCTGTTTTGTGATTGGGTAAGTAAACTTGTCAGAGTCATAGCTTTGCTACAGATTTAGGTGTATATGAGAGTATGTTCTAAATAACCTGTTTTTATGCTCCCTATAGGCTGATCATGTACGGGTTTGTGTCCTTCATGAAAGTAGTGGGACAGCTTGGAGGAGATTTCTACTTCACAGACTGCCTCTTTTTTGGCGCTATCGTTTCTGCAACAGACCCAGGTTTGTGTGGCTCTTCATGCCATACACATATCCTTAATGTGCAAAACAAATTCATTATAAAGGTATTTTCTTGTGACTTGCATCTGCCTTCTTGGTTAAAGCGAGACACATTTTTTCAGTATCCAAACCTGTGTAAAAACCTTTGCATCTCAGTTATCCACAAAATAGATGAAGTGTTTAAAATCTATCAAATCTATCTTCTCTGAGATCCAGAATACACATTTCTTCAATACTCAACAAATATGTGAGTGTGGTCACTGGTGATTCTCCCAGTTTTCAAATGCACATGATAGACTGGTGGATAAACCAGTTGGAGACACATATGATTTGTCCACATTGGAAAAAATAAAGGAAAGAAATATTACAGGCGACTAAAAAATGTTGCGGATTTCTACAGAATCAATGAGAGAAGCACTGTTAATCTGCTGTGCGATAAATTAGGTTTATTTGTAAATCATTGGGCACCAATGAGCTCCTTTGTTTCACATATGCCACTAAACTAAATGATGCACAGTCAAGTATGGCCAGGCTAGGGAGGTATGGGGCCAGACTGATATCAATCTGTATAAAAAATACAAAGAGATATCATTCTGGATTTTGACAGGCAAATATCTATCTGCATCCAATGTTAAAATATTAACTTTTGTAAAGAAAATGCCATCTAAACTAGTGCCCGACCGATATGGATTTTGTTGTGGCCGATGTGATACCGATAAAATGGGAGTTGGAGCTCCCGATAACCAATATAATCGCCGATATATTTAGTGATGTAAAAATTCACTGTAAATCTTGAATTGTTTAAAAAACTTAGGGTTGGCTCTGGTGGATTTTAAATTGGGTTTATTTAGGAAACATTTATTGTTTTTCTGACTCTTTGCGTCATATTTACAGACAGTAAGTCGGCTTGATGGTATTTTTGCATGACATTCTAGTTACTAGTGATGGGTATTCCAGTTCTTTTTAGAGAACAGGCTCTTTTGACTCGGCTCACTAAAAGCAGCTGGCTCTTTCGGCTCCCAAGCAGCTCTTCAGATGCAAGCCAGACTAAACCAGGTCTAAAGCAGAACTGAACCAGGACTAAACCAGGACTAAAACAGATCTAAACCATGAGTAAAACAGGACTCAACCAGAACTGAACCAGGACTGAGTGTCGGGACTCGGTCTCTATCTCTCTCCCTCTCTCGAGCCCAAGATTAGTCCTGGTTTATTTATTTTATGCTGAACTCCAGCCAAATATGCACATTTTTATTATCCTATGCACACGCATATTGATATCGGTGAACGGTGTTCCGGTTCTTCGTGGGATCATGTCCAGATGTGATTTGTTTACACTGGTGTTTACATATTTGCGCCACCCTCAGGCCACATCAGGCACATGCACACCCAAAAGTTTTATCATTTGTATCTGACGTACCGTTTCATTTGCAGATTCGACAAGAACAATGCCGATTGCGATTAATGCATGGCTCCAGGATAAAATAAATCAATGCTTGCAATTGCGTATATGACTTTAAGTTGTTTGGTGTCCTTTAATGACTACGATAAACAGGCTATAAAAATATAAGTAAGAGAGTGCGTGGACCTCGAACTCACATCACCCGTGAAGAAAATAACAAATGCGGGGTCTTTACCCTTATCCTACGTTAACATATCGATCAGTTCAGCACTTATACACCTCTGTCATGTGCATTACAGTCACATTGGAGGCATTTTAACTCGTGAAAGTCACGCTTAACATCGGACAAGTTACTGCTGTTTTTAAAAGCGCGAGTGCGTCCTTTACCATGTGCCTCGTGCATACACTACAGCACTGAACTAAAGTCTGCAGAAGGGTGCACGATGGTGCACCCTGCATGCAAACTTCGCTTCCATGTGTTGATGTGACACCTGGCAGGGAGTGTTATCTTGTGACACGCCCAGTGGACAATTTACCATTGTTAAAGCTTGATTCTGCTGAGTCCTTATATAATAGTTTTCCTAATAGTGGTTTTGACAGTAGCCGTAGTTGACACCAATTTAATAGGAGTTTGAGCCATGTTTGGGATAAGGTAGAGTATAGCGACACAGGGTGACTCTCGTCACATCAGTGTCAGAAGCCGAGTGCTTTTATGTTCACTTTGCCATATGAACTTATTGCCACTTGATAGTTGACTTTCCAGGATGTCATGCATGCGCACATTACGCTGCCTATGGTGCTCGAAAGAGTGCCGTGTAATTGCACATGAGCAGATGACTATATTGTAATGTCACAAGATGACATGGCAGTGATGTCTGAGCATGAGTGTCAGTGCACTTAGTGACCACGACATGTCCTTGTTTTAAACACTTGTGACTTTGCGTTCGTTTAACATTATTATACGTGATATCAGATCTTTATAGCTGCTCTAATTGATCATTAGCATTTTTTGCCAGGCATGCGAGTGCAATTGGGCTTTAAATAACAGTGGTAAACTGTCCAAAGTGGGTGTCACAAGATAACACGCCCTGCCAGGTGTCACATCAAGACATGGAAGCAAAGTTTGCGTTGTAGCCTTTTAAAACATCATCATGCAACCTTCAGCAGATTTTAGTTCAGCGCTGTAGTGCGTGCACGACGCACATGGTAAAGGACAGGCTCGCGCTTTTTAAAACAGCAGTAACTTGTTTGATGTTAAGCGTGACTTTTACAAGTTAACATGCCTCCAATGTGACAGTAAGGCGCGTGACAGTAAGGCGCATGACAGATATAGGTGCTGAAGAAATTGTTTGATATGTTGGTGTAGCGTAGAGGTGTAGAAACAGAACTTGTTGTTTTCTTCACTAGTGACGTGAGTTCGAGGCCCACGCACCCTCTTCCTCATATTTTTATAGCCTGCCCATCATAATCATTAAAGGATACCAAACAACTTATAGTCATATATGCAATTGCAACCATTCATGTACTTTATTCTAAAACCATGTATTAATCGTAGTCATGTTAGACAAGTTTGATTGGGGGTTGGCATTGTTCTTGTTGAATCTGCAAATGAAACGGTACGTCAGATACAATTGATAAAACATCTTGGCATGCATGTGTCTGATGTGGCCAGAGGGTGGCGCAAATTTGTAAACACCAGTGTAAACAAATCACATCTTGACATGATCCCACGAAGAACCGGAACACCGGCTCTAAGAGCTGTTTCATTTGCGACTGACCCATCACTACTAACTAGTAAAGAAACTACTGCTGTAGCCGTAAATGCGTGCGTGCCTCGGTAATTAATTATATGCATAAATGTCATCTATTCACAGCTCATTTACATATCAATACAGGTCCAGTAATATATATACGGCCAGTATAGTCACTTTACAATAGGCCAATAGAAGAGAAAACAGCCTGTTTATGTGCGGGAGCTACAGCAGCTAATCGCTAACCAATGAGAAAGAACCAAAACTAGCTTCAAAGTCGACATATTTCCAACACTCACCGCTCACACAGGCTCCTCCTCACATCACAAGTCTGCACTAATAAATGTCCTTTTAATCCTGACTCAAACCGATTGTCCGTAAAAATAATATAATCTCAGTTTTGTGCACATAGATCTATGGCTGTGGGTGTAAACAAACGCACGTGAATGACTTGACTCTGGGGGTGTGTTCAGGGACAGTATGGACACACACAGACAAATGACTCCGCAAATAAATACTGATGCAGAGCCACATATTAGGACATTTATGTGTCTGTAAATTGGAGTAAATGAACATAATGTAGCGAGTCTTAAGCGTTTTAACAAGGTATAACATGCCCATGTGAAATATCTGCCCTTATCAGCAAACATATCGGCCGATCGCCGATATGTTTCCAAGTGCCCATATCTGCCGATAATATCGGCCAACCGATATACCAGTCTGACTCTAATCTAAACTAATATTCCCATTCATAAAAAAAATAAATAAATAAAAAAATTTCATTCTGTTTGCAGTGACGGTTCTGGCCATTTTCAATGAGCTGAAGGTGGATGTGGACCTGTACGCTCTACTGTTTGGAGAGAGTGTCCTCAACGATGCAGTGGCAATCGTCCTATCTTCGTAAGAATTAAACACACATCACAATAACTCATAGGCAATGTTTTTGAGCAATTTCACATTCATCCATCTGTGTTGTAAAAAGTGCAATTTTCATGGGTTTCTGCTGGTTATTAAATCCACTGATAATGCATGTGAAAGAAGGAGGCTTTGTAATATTTTATGTAGCATAAATTACTACAAGGCCATATCCCCTCAAAATTCTCACAGTATTCATCTACACACACTCATTATGATATCTATTTTGTCTCCTCCAAAGTCATATATGTTTGAAAAGGTCTGAAATCTGTTTTAACTACAGGTATGGCTGTGCTAACATCAATGCTTTTAAGTATAATGTTTTATTTAACATCAGTTACATTCAATTACTTTGCAGCAATGTTAGATTTCACATTGTTGATAGGTTTTCTAGTGCAACAAACCATTAAAAAAAAAAAAAAAAAAAAATATATATATATATATATATGTGTGTGTGTGTGTGTGTGTATGTATGTATGTATATATATATGTGTGTGTATGTATGTATGTATATATATATGTGTGTGTATGTATGTATGTATATATATATGTGTGTATATATATATATATATATATATTATATATGTATATATGTGTGTGTGTGTGTGTGTATATATAAGTTGAATTTTAACATATACACATAGAATATATTGCCCTGTTTATTCTATATTTGAGCATCACTTGACGTTAAACATTGGAGTGAATCTACTTTAACCTTCAGAAACCCTGTAGTTGTTGTCCTTGTATATCCTCATTGTACTAACATCATCCATGTCATTCCCACTGCCGCCTCCTCTGTCTGTGTGGTCGTCTCCTGTACGTATGTATGTAGAGTGCTCCTGCGTTTTGAGAAGCAGAGTAGACACTCAGTCTCTGCGTCAGGGAGCAGGGGCCCAGTGCTGCCCCAGGAGGAGCATGTGCTAATGGGGCCGAACTTCACTGGGACACCGCGGTGGGTGTGGGGTGGTCTGAGTGGCAGCATTTTGATAAAGGATCTACTTAAATTTGGAGCATTTTTATCTTGAATGCATGTTTTTGTCAGTTTCTTACATTGCTTGTATGAACATTAATTTCTGCCTTAATTTTAAGTGCAAAATTATTAAAGGTGCATTGTGTAACTTTTCTGCTGGAGGATCTGTCAAATGGTTTTATCTGTGGAGATCTCATTGCTTTGTTTGGAATCTTTCATTTAATTTAATGAATGTAAGGTAGTGTTGTTTTAATGGAACTATGGAATATTCCAGGGCAATAACATATGCATAGAAACAAGCAGGTGATGAGCCCCCAACCAAAAAGTTGCATAGTGCACCTTTAAGTGAATGATTTGGATGAGTTTGATCATTTACCAGCTGCCAGTGTGTTTTTAGTGCCATTTCCAAAAGTAGTTAAATGGATTCTGCTGTTATGTTATTAAGAAGTAGAAATCTAAAACAAAAGAGGAGCCTATGCAAGGCTATTCAAGTAAAGCTTTCATCTACTATAAAAAGAAAGTTAATTTATTACAGGTAGTGTTTTATTTATTATTAAGAAAAGGGTTCGAAAATATCTGCAATAACTTTTGTCACAATATATTTCACATATCAATTATTTTATTGTCACAGGCCAGGTTGCACCCTCATTAGATAGAAGGCAAACGAAAAAGGTTATTTAATTCAACAATAACTGTTAACAATGTGTAACTCTGAAATTCTTAAAAGATTATTGTCCTGTATTGTAGATTATAGGTTATACTGGCTCTTTGCATTGGCAGATATTTAATAATATTCTGAATTAATATATTTGTAGATGTTGGCAGCATGCTTGTATGCAAAAGATTTCCTGCTAGCCTCTTTATTTTTACTCTGGCCGATCATCCTGTTTGATAGAAACGTTTATCCTTCAACTGAGTTAGTTTTAGTCGTGAATCCTTGCATGTGCTAATTTTTGACCAATTCAACCCCTGTTGTCTTTTAAGGATATATTTCCTTTTTTCTTGTGTCTGATTTTGATTGTTGGTTGTAGGTCTATTGTTGCATACCAGCCAGCGGGGGATAACAGCCACAGTTTTGAGGCAATGGCCATGCTCAAGTCCTTTGGAGTTTTTCTGGGAGTTTTCAGTGGATCCTTTGCTCTTGGAGTGGCCACTGGAGTTGTAACTGCATTTATATCCTTCGATCAGCAGTACAGGTTAATGGTATTCCCTTGTCATGTATATGCCAGTAGACTTACATTGGATGTGTTGGGAAGAGCTGCTTGTGTACAGTAAACATACAGTTACTGATTACAATTATTGCTCCAGTTAATTACATAAATTGCGTAGTAAAGATGATGAATCATTTTGATCATTTGATGACTTTTAAAACAACTTTATAATATATCTCTTCTATCTCTACCTTTGTCACATCATACTTAACAGTTAAAGAAAAACCTTGGGTAACTACAAATTTTTCATTATCATTCAGCCCTTGTATAGAACCACCATTTGACAACAGTTGAATTTATTGGAATAACATGTAATTATAGTGCATCTATTGTTTGTGTCTGTTTTGACTGTTGTTCACCTTGACCTTGTTTTTCACGTCACTAAGTTTACAAAGCTGAGGGATTTTCCCCTACTGGAAACCGCCCTCTTCTTCCTCATGTCCTGGAGCACCTTCCTACTGGCAGAGGCCTGCGGGTTTACAGGTACAACAGTGTTGAAAACAGTAGAAAGGATTAAACTATATCACTGTGGGATTTTGGCTGTCTATATTAGGAAACATTTTGGGTATGGATTTTAGTATATATAAATATAAACATAAATATATATAAATATAAAAAAAAAATATATATATATATATATATATATATATATATATATATATATATATATATATATATATATATATATATATATATATATATATATGCAGTGTGTGTATGTATGTGTGTATGTGTGTATGTGTGTGTGATATATATATATATATATATATATATATATATACACTGTATAGATTAGATAATAGATAAAGATACACATAGTGGACTGTGAATTTATTTGAATTAGGGATTCTCTATTTTTGGTAGATTTTTTTCCTGATAATAACAGATTTTGTCCATAAGAACAATTCTTTCGACTTTTTAATCCACTGAATATATAATAGTCAAAATCAGTCACAATGTTTCATCTCACAAAACCTATAACTGGACACTGTTGTTTTAGATTTTTAAATACAAAACCATATATGTAGTTTCCATCTACAGTTTCAGTTGCCGCTTCTGCTTTATTGTTTTTATTTTTAATTTTTTTAATGACCAGTTTCATGTTGTTGTTTCCAGGAGTGGTGGCGGTGCTGTTCTGTGGCATCACTCAGGCTCACTACACATACAACAACCTCTCCCCGGAGTCTCAGGACCGGACCAAGCAGGTACACTCTCTCTGTTTAAATTAAAAGTGTAAGTAAAAGTAAGTAAAGTAAGTGTAAGTAAAAAGTGTAAGTAAAAGTAAGTAAAAGTTTTGTTTGCCATTTCAGTACCTACTGGGGGCTGGGGCAACAATTTTGGAGATATTTTGTTTTTGCAATTGGGATTCGATTCCTGAGCACACATTTTAAACATGTCCAGGAGCATCAACATTTGAGACTAAAATATTAAATGCAAGACTAAATCCAAAAATACAGGGAGGATTAGTACATAATATGACCAAATCATTTGTTGTTTGCATTGGAAATTGTGTTTCTTTGTTTCTTTGATTGTTTATTTTGACCATTCACATTGCAATTTTGATTCAGTTTCAGTTAATCTTGCCGCCCTAGTTTCTAACATGTAAAAAATTGTACTGTAGACTTTTATCATTTGTGTGACCCAGAAAAACTCATAGTTAAATTGCATAGTTACAAACTAATGTTTGTTTACTGTTTACTCCATTTTGTACTAAAACCCTTTTAATCAAAAGTTTTTTACTTTGCATTTATGCCTCTGATACCACTTTGTAGGACAAATAGTATAATATATAGCCAAAAAATCTGTTCTTATACGCCAATAAATAGTTTTCAGAAATTGTAAATTTAAGTGTTTTTTTTAAGCCATTGCAGAGTTTTTTTTCTAAGCCATTTGCAAAGTGTTTTTTTTTAAAGCATATTTTGACAAATTTTGGTTGAGGTGTTGATAAATAGGACTTGTGCAGAACTTATTTTTGTTGGATGTTTTACACGTTGCACAAGTTTGTGCTTTTTTTTTTATCTGAAGTGTGAAAAATAAGTTTAAAACAGCTTAAACAGGCCAGCCTAACGTTTCACACCAAACCACAGGTTCCGGGCTCACAGCTTGTGGTGAGAAAGATGGAAAGTGACATTAAATTATTTCCTGTTCTGATAAACAAGGTGAAACTGCTATGTACGTACATTTGGTGTCACATTATTGCATGCCACAATATTAATCTGAAACCAGTATGACTAATATCCCAATGTTTTCTTTGATGAAACTCTACGAAGAAAATGAGAGTGATAAAAAATCTTATTGATGGTGTGCAAATTTAATCAAGAAAATTTGACAGCAGTGATAGAATCACCTACAGATCATTTCTGCTTGACGCACTTCCGCCAGTGCCATTTGCCATCATAGCAGAGATTGAAATTAACCTCAATATTAAATTAAGTTCAATAATTGAGAAAACTGTTTTAGCACTTTAGCACACGAACAAGTATTTCATTATTTTTCACCAGCACCTTGTTTGTTACTTCACTTCCAGAAGCCAGACATGACATGTAGCTTGAGGAAAATATCTTGATTCCACAATGTCTGCGGTACAGTATTTACTTATCTATGTTTCTCTTATATCTGCAGTTGTTTGAGCTGCTGAACTTCTTAGCGGAGAACTTCATCTTCTCATACATGGGGCTGACCTTGTTCTCCTTCCAGTCCCACGTCTTCAACCCTCTCTTCATCATAGGAGCATTTGTATCCTTCAACATAGACCATAGATTTGGCTTATTCATTATAGATACATTATATATAATATATAAGGACACCAGTTATCAAGTACATTTCAGAACACATGCGTACAAAAACCTCAAATGTCTCAATGCAACATTTCATTTACCCGTTTAAGGCTGGCTAGACATAAAGTCCCATTAGGTGGAAAAGTCCCTTCACCAGACAAAAACTGCCTTCACTAAGATGCATCTCAATGAAGTTATAGCAGCTATTGTTTTAGCTTCATTTAGACTTCTTCACTTATCAGAAGGTGCCTGTGATATTATGCATGCTCAGAAATACCAAGGTTAAGGTGTCGAAAAGTAATTTCAAAATCCTGAACAATGCAGAACCCTCAATGTACAATACAGAGCCATACTGAAAGTAGTATATCAATAGTTCTGAATGTTTTTATATTTTACTATTATCAAGATTCACCAGTTTATTTAATTCTTGAAGTAAAAATAATCAGCTCTGGACACACATTTAATTCAGAGCAAGCACAACAAAAGCAATAACTGTAATTTGATTCCAGCAAGATGATGAAATTTCCATTGAGTCCAGGTTTTATTTTGCATTGGTGTACTGTCCTCTTCTGTATAAATCAGTGTTCAATCCTTCACCCTAGCCGCTGCAGTTGGCCGTGTTTTTGGGGAGAGCAGCCAACATTTACCCTCTGTCCTTCCTGCTGAACCTGGGACGAAGGAACAAAATCGGATACAATTTCCAACATGTGATGATGTTTGCAGGTTTGGAAATCAAAGGACAAGCTACATGCACAACAGTATATAGTTTTGGGCAGGTCATGAAGAAAAGTTATGAACAAAGAGAGATTTGCATCAAATCAAAAAATTGATTATTGTGAGCTTTAAGCCATGTTATAATGTTACCTCATGAAAAAATACCTGGAGTTGTGTTTTTTTTGTTTGCACATTTTTGTGTATGCTTGGTTTATGTGTTTAAATGTACGAATGAAACAAAACACAACTCCGAGTATATTTTTGTTGAGGAAACAGCATAATAACATAAATCAGAAAATAAAAAAAGAATATAGGTAATTTAAGTAACAATCTGATAATCGAAAACAGCTAAACATGCTTTATTCTGTAATATTCAACACTGCAGTTTTGACCTCTACAAACATGTTCTGAAATGCATATGATTTTTCTATAAGATAAGCTGTTCAACCTGTCAAAATGTTGTTCAATGCTCCTGATTATATTATTATATTTTTACAAACCCATATGGCTATTGGAAACAAAAGTAACTTAGTTGATCTTGATTAAGTTCTGACATGGCATCTCAGAGAAAATGATAAAATCTATTCTTTTAGTAAAGCAAGTCCTAATCTCAAAATACTTCAGAATTCTGTGTTTTTTAAAGACCTCTTAGTCAACTACATTTTCACTTGTCAATGAAAAGTCAAAGATGGTTGTTCACAGTAGCTTAACAGTAGTTTCCTAATGGTTTATACTATGACTTGAACAGCCTTTACAAAAACTGTGCTTCCCAGAAAGAGGGTCACAACAAACAGGCTGCCATTAGTTGACACCATAATAGAGATAATAATGGACATCTGCAAAGTAGATCTGCTCATAATTGTACCTTGCAATGTCTTGACCCTTTTCTTTTCTACATTTACAATGTGATATTTAGACTAAAATATCTCATATCACTGACTACCAAATGTAATTATTTATCAGCCAAAATCAAGTAAAATCAAGCTGACTGAAAAAGGACTCAAAATGTGTTTAAAATTTGGTGCACTTGGTAGCACAGCCATCCACTAGATTTGGGTCAGGTACAAAGGCTTTATGAAACAGTCTAAATATTCACAACCCTCATGGCTATTTCTTGCCATATCTAATCTTCCCTCATGTGGTCATGAGTCACTGTTTGTCACAGGACTTCTGATCTCATACTGCTGTGCGTACAAGCTCTGGAACAGGAGTGTGAACAGCTGTCCTGTACATTTTCTATTTTTATTACTTTTTATTCTCAACAATAAAAAGACACTTTTGAGCAGTTTAACTAGAAATATCCTATTGGTCTTATCTAACAACATGTACAAAGTGTCATGTGAGCGTCCTTTCTCTGCAGGTCTTCGTGGGGCAATGACCTTTGCCCTCTCCATTCGGGACACAGCGACATACGCACGTCAGATGATGTTTTCAACCACACTCCTCATCGTCTTCTTCACTGTGTGGGTCTGTGGGGGCGGGACCATGCCAATGCTGTCTTTCATGAGTATACCGTGAGTCTATCAACTTATTTTATTGTTTTGCATTTTACATTTATACCACTATTTATTTATTTATTTATATTTTTTTACTATTCTACATATTAATTACATCAGCTCTCCGCATTATAAAAAGAAAAACTATTAAAAAATAAATGTAAATGTTTTTTACAGAAATACAAACTATTGATATGCGTTATTATCGACATATTTTTTGTCCATTAGGGTGGGTGTGGACTCAGATCAAGAAAACACAGTAAGTTGCCTAAATATTCAATTTAAATAAGTTAAGTACAAAATTAAAAGCATACAGTATAAGGCTTTACCATTTTTATTAATAAATGACTGATTTTTGTTTAAGAGTGCCACAATGTTGGATGGGTCCCAGAGGAGAAACACAAAACACGAAAGTGCCTGGCCGTTCAGGATCTGGTATAACTTTGATCACAAGTATCCTTTGAATCATGCCCAGCATTTCTTCCCTCAACCACAAGAGGGAACAATGTGCAAGCTGAAACGACCTGCTATAGTGCAGGAATAGTAAGAGAAAACACAGATTTTTTTTTTTATAGAAAAATAAATTAAGAAAAAAATCTCTGGTTGAGAGTTCAAGTGTTAAAGTGATACCCATTAGGTTATATTATATATTAATATCAGATAGAACAGAAATAAAGACCACTTGGAAACAGTTGCTACAATTACACACATGTTTCAAAATAACTAGCATCATAATGAAGTAAAATAAATTGGCTACTGACTACTGAAAAGAGAGCAGAGCAAAGTCAAAGACAGGAAGCTGTGGTTTTGGGCCATTTATTTTCTGAGGCCCCTTGTTAGTGTTGCACTAAAGATTTTTCACGTAGTATTACTGAGTATAAGAACAAGTTTAGTATTGTTATTTGACATGTTTACAGCGCTTTTCCTGAGTCATTATATAATTATATAATTGTACATTACAAAAATACAGACAAGGTTCATAAAGTCTTTGGACTGTTTTCTCATCTAAACTTATGACAAAACAACTGCGAAAAAAAGAAAAGCAGTGAAACCCTTGACAGTTACCTCTAAGTTACCTGAAGCCGCTGCTGACCCACAGTGGACCTCCTCTCACGGCGACACTGCCCTCCTGCTGTGGCCCCCTCGCACGCTGTCTTACCAGCCCACAGGCCTACGAGGTGGGTGCAGGGACAATACTGTCACCATACTTTTAAGCATTTATATGTACTAAATGCATATAAAGAAAACAAGTATTTCTGATCTTGTCATCTATTGACTTTATTTTACCAGAATATGGTTGACAAGAGATACTATTTATTTACATTGATCGGTTTTAAGCTTTGTAAAAAAATATTTTCCTTGTTTCTTATTAGACTAGAACACTTGGACAAGGTGTATATTGGACATATTGTCAACAGTGAACAGTAGGATGGGGTGATTGGCAACCTACATTATAACACTGTTAAAAGCTAGACAAAAATGCAGTTGATTATTTTAACCCTCATCCACTCAAAATCTTTATAAACTTTTCATAGTATCACAGGAACAACAGCACTTTTTCAACTTTTGCATTTATCTTGATTCCCTCACCAGAACGAGGGCCAGCTCCATGACGATGACGACTTCGTTTTGAATGATGCCAGTGTCAGTTCGATGTATGCGGATGTGACTGTGAGCACCGACGCCTCCGGGTCTCGAACCATCAACCACAAACGCTCCAGCACCGGAGCGGGTTTTCCTGATGATGGCCTCGATAATGACCTGGCCCTGTCCGAAAATGAGGTAGCCATCAGGGGAACGCGCCTGGTCCTGCCCATGGACGACCCACTGGACGCCCCAACAACAGTCACGCTGCCCCCTCCGCCTTCCCCGCCCAAATCTGACCCACGCAGGCACAGACTGTAAAGGTGTCACTAATTTAATATTTCAGTGTATTAATTTAATGTGAGTTTTAATTTATTTCATGTGTTAGGTCATGCAATATATGTAACCAGTAAGTTCAGCGATAAACTTGAGGTGATTTTGTTTTATTGTCAGGACTACACAACTAACATTTAAAGCTGACTGTACCCTAACCAATCATGTTGAGTAAGCACAAGTAGTCTCATATGTAACATTTCTTTATGTATTTACTGTTCACTGTAATATTATCCCACAAACACTCCAACAAGACTTTCATTTAATTATGAAGTTTAAAGAACACTATGTAACTTTTCTGGTGAAGGGTCTACCACTTTTTTGTCTCCATGGAATGTTACATAATATGGCGTTAAACAAATAAATCTTGCATTTAGTCAGTTGCAAGAATGTGATTTAGGTATTTATTTGGGAAAACATGTATTAATGCTGTGAAAGGCTCGCAGCTTACAGTAGATCTGTGCATCTACTGTCGATCCACAGATCTACTTGATCTGGTGAAGTCACCCACTTGTTTCCATGGACTGTAGTGAACATTCCAGTCAAAGCAATAACATCTCCATGGGACAGAGGTAGCGGACCTTCCAACTGCAAAGTTACATGGCCCATCTTTAATGTCACTAAGTGGGTCTTGTAATTAGACATATTGAGAATAAGTTTCCCATTAAAATAATACTTTATTCATCATTCAATCATTATTAGATTATGTTACATTTATTCTTTTGTTAAGAAACACACAATGATTTAGTGACATCTAGTGGAGAAACAAAAAAGTATGTACTTAGCTACAGTATAACATATTATCAGTACATATCAGTACAACAAGGTTATTAATGTGAATGAGCCTCATAGTTCATCTTGCAGTGCAGTTGTGCATAGTTTGCAGGTCAGTATGGTCCTTTCTGGGCACATTTTGCTCAAGCTAAAGATGTGTTCTGTGAAAAGAAATAATAATATATACTTTTTTTGGTCTATATTGAGCCTGTTATTAGCACTATTACTTACGGTACAAATCAATTCTGGCCAGAGGTGGCTAGTACTCTTCATTTCAGATTTCTGAAAGCGTCTGACACTATACGTTCACTCCTACTTCAGTAATATATTCTACAATGTAACAGTAACTTGCTAACTACTAATGCCCCCCCGTGACTTCTTGTTTCAATACTTACTACTTTAGTCATTTAGTAGTTTCCTCCAAACACTTTTTATTCAACTTTACTTGAATCATATTATCTTGAGGTGGCATTGCTCTTATTTGAGTACAACTTTTGGATACTCTACCCACCTCTGATTCTGTCAACTCTTAACATATAAGTAAGGTACACTAAATCAAAGTGCTTAGTGCTTTGTGAAACTTGGTGAAATGCACATTTTTAATGTACTATATTTTATTTAAGCATTATTTTGAGTTCTGCATTGAAGGTTCGGATATGACACTGTCTACAAAAAAGCAACTGAATGGTACAATAATGTGGGCAGTAGTTAACACATTGGTCACATGTCCTCAGCTGACAATTTGTGTCAAAATGTTGAAAGAGTAAATGAATCACTGGATAGTAATACATGTTTAATATACTACTGTAAACTTTAGGCTTATCCATAGTCATAACGCTGCCTTTTATTGCTCATCTGTTTATGAACCTCCTTTTTATTTATTTTATTTATTGTTGTTGTTGTGTGACATTAATAATAGAAACAGAGGATTTGGGGTATTTTCATTTTAATTTGCACTTTTTATTAAATCAGTTTAACTTTTACAGAGAACAGGAAGCTGTTGTTTCATTTTGTGCATGTTAAAATATTGTAGCATTTATTAATTTATATACTGTACTTGGAAAATAGTGCTTCCTTGTCTGTAAATTGTAAAAGTGTGTATGTGGCTACAATGAACTTTCCAAATTTCACATGATGATTGGGGCTATTAATTTTTTAAATTCTCTGTTTAAAAAAATAACTGCCATGACTTGGAGACCGAAGGACAGGCTGAACTGTTTTAAATGAAGTGCCTATTTTCAGAAATTGATTTTCCTGTTATAGATTTGTAAATATTTAATTGGTGCAGTAAAACTGTTCAGTTTTATACAATTTAATCCCTCACGCTCTTGTATTTTGTTTGATTGTTGGTCAAATTAAGATTTTGAGCCAAAATACTATTTACTTATTATATTTGTTGGATTTTCATAGACGTTTTCAACAAAACAAGAACACTGAGTTTAAATGCATGGGGTTAGTACAACTTTCAACCTTTATGTTTATAAATGTACATAAACAAAAAAGCAAAAGCTAAATGTGACAAGTGTACAGAGTAGTAACAATATGGACAAGACAAATCTTCAAATGTTTGGTTTCCTGTCTGTGGCACCTGCTGCAATGATGTGTCTGAATGTTTTTAAAATAACTTTTGTTTGAGGGAAAATGACACTATATTGTACAAATGTCTTCCCTTTGTGGTATTAACAGCATCTCAGATGACCCCAGAGTGTGTTGGAAAATAAAACAACTTTTCAAATGAAGAAATGAAAGTCACATTTGTATTACATTTTTTGTAAGTCCTTTGTGTTCTCATGTTATTGTAAATAACATGAGATTGTAAATGCAATCTACATAAAGATAGCCACAAAACAATTATTTCCTACAAAGTTTATTCATGATGCAGAGTACTTGAGTAGTACAGAAATAACTTTTTTAAACTACAATTTTTAAACTCACAAGCCCACTTAAATGAAAGCTTTCCATTAGTAGGACTGTTATCAGTAATAACATCTTATCTGAACTTGCCATACACTGCTACATTCAATCCATAATGCTCCAACAACATGACAACTTAAAGATGCACTGAGAGGAGGGATTTGTTTGCCACCTGCTTATCTCAGTGAAGATGCATCTTTAAGCATGCAATTAAGAAAGCACTACAGCTGTGATTAAGTTTTCGATGAGGACAATGCTGAGCAAGTTTACGCTTGCTTCTAAAATATTACAACACAGAAAGGAATTGACAGATGGTGAAGTGTGTGCATTCATAACAGAACAGGTCTATGCTCAACAGGACTTTGTGTTGCAATAATTCATCCCTTAAGCAAAATATGTTTGATAAGCAAGTTGGCAAACAGTAAAAATGAATAACCCTTTATATGAACTATAATGAGTGCAGTATATGGAGTACCAAAGGGCATGGCATCTCCTGTGTGTTTGCCCAAAGTTTGCTGCCTGATGTTATTTAAAACCCCACAACCCAAATCAAATAGACATTTTGCACTAATGCCCTCATGATTCTGGAGCTCTTTTGAAAATCATATTCAAATAAATGCTGTACATAGATTTAACTGAACAAAAATCAAACGAAATAACATGCAGGTTATGTGATTAAAATGAGTTAGATATATTATTTAAAAGATCGGAATTTAGCCCAACTCTTAGTTTGAAATCAGGTGTTACGTTCTTGTTTGGAATCTTTTATTTTGAAATCCCGTGCACACAACCTCCTGAATGGGGCTGGATTTTCGTGTTGAACTTGTCGCACATGGAAGTATTTATGAAGTGGCCGTCAGTGCAACTTTTCATCACGGGGTCCTGCTGCAACCTCCGAACTGCCCGGACTCCGCTGCTTCTCTTCCCCAACAACATCACTCCAAATCCGGTAAGACTTTCGAACTTTAGTGCAACTACCTACAACAGGTTCCATCGCTCTACTAATAGACCGAATACATCTTTTTACGCATTCTGCATCTTATTTAGTTCACAAACAATCAACGTAACTGCATATTTTATTAGCTTCTCCTCTTGTAATAGTACACCTGTCAGCGTTGTTTATTTTGTTTGAGATGTTGTGCGCGTCTTTACGCACAACTTCGGTACCATGTTCTTAAACTGTACATGGCATGACTCCTTTTCCTCTTTCATACACGATTCCCCAACACTGCCTTTTGATATGCAGGAAGGAAATAAACCGTATAGTTCAGTGGGGCGTTGGCTATCCGTCTGTCACTCACTGCGTGTCTACAATGTGCAAGTTTGCATAAAAATCTGCGCTACAGTGGTAGACTTGCAGAGAAAGCTGTGGGCAGCTCCTTAAATCTGTTTCCAGTTAAGAGGCCGTTTTCCCCGCGTGTGTGATGGAACCGCTGGGACTGAAAATGCTTCGCAGAGGTCAATTTAAATTCCTGTACAGCTATTTTTCATTGTCCCGCCGCATGTGTGAGAGGAGTGCGTCTGGAGGCAGGATCCTGTATCCTATAGGGACTTTGACACTGCCCTTGTGATAGACTACGAGATTATGGCCAACGGGAGTGATTGAATTACTTTTTTAACATAACACGTGTTACATAAACCTACTAGTTTTGCCCAGTAATCCATAAATAATCAAGTAGCCTATGCAATAAAGTAAGATAGTTTAGAGTGTTTGGTAATTTTAGTTTACCAAAATCTATTACATTTTCCAACGTGGCCTTATAATGCCTGAGATGGACATTTTGGAAGTCCATGAGATATTTTTCACATCATTTGCTGTGGTTACAGTTACATGCACCCTTTTTTGAGTTAAAAGATTATTTAAATGACATGTAAAAAGCAAAATTATCTAATTTATTCCTGATCATAATCTGTTTGCTCACATCAGATTAAGCAGTTTTCATGTCTTTCAAGTAATCTAAAAAATCCAGAAATCAGAGACTAATCTGATTTTGATGTGCATGTGAACAAAGCCACTGTAGGGAGTTATTGTGCACTACAAACATGTAGTCTTGATGCTCATGATGTGCAAACCATAAACCCAATCATACTTATTTAGCCTACCCACTGGCCGACAACTGTTATTATGACAATAAAATAAAATAAAATCACCAAGACAAGTGTTCACTACAATGGGCATACCTATGATCGAATAACATTATTTGGGGATTTTGACTCAATGTCTATAGTTGAGAAAGTGAGATTCCCATTCTTTTCATCTTAAATGGAACTTTTGTGCAGCCAAACCAGTGCTGACACTTGAAACCTGACAAATAATCATCATTCCACCTGGAAAAAAACAGGAGGGAGGAAGAGACATGAAGAAATTCAAATTCTTTTTTTTTTTTTTAAATAATAAAATTAGGCAACTGGAATGGGTCACTGCAAGTAAATGTGTAAATAGCTTTTGCGTACAGACCTAAAGTTTGACATAATGTGCATGCAGTGATGCAGTATAGACCTACTTAACAGGAGGCAGAACAGACAATACTGCCAACTGCCTAAGGCTTATTAAAATAGCAATATCATCATGTTTTGCATCATCAGTTGTTCCTGAATAAATTAATCACCACATGTACTCTGGATTAAATATACAGTAACAATAAGATGAAGCATTGTTTTTAATTTAGCCGCTCCTTTTTTTATGTCAGATGCCCTTCCTTTACTAGTAGCCATGACTTAAGTGAAATTTAAGTATCTTACCCAGTGACACAAACCAGCATGAAGCCTACTGCAACCAAAAGTTGAATGGGTAAACACTTAACAAATGTATTACATATCCAACATTGTCCCCTGCATTGAGTCTCCTATAGGCTTTATATTTTATGTGCAGTCTTAACCTATAGCCTAATGACCTTATCTTTCCCAATTAAGAAAACACAGTTCAGCGTAATTGCACCACACTGCATGCCCCCGTTGTAGCCCTGTTCATGTAGTTACATTCAAGAATACATCTGGAAATATTTTTACTACACTTCCAAAGTACGGCGATGTACTTCCAGTGAGCTAGACATGTTTAATTTGACCTTTCAGTCCAACAGACTGCTCTCTCTCTCTCTCTCTCTCTCAGAAAGAGACAGGAGCACCACGGGGAGCTCTGAATCAGATCTGGTGGCAACATGTTAAAGAAATTAGCATGACTCACTCTCATAAAATACATCACAGCCTAGTAAAACTTCATGCAATTTGTCTGGCAATACGTCATGCCTGAAAAGTCCCTGTTGTTTCTTGCCTGTGGTGAGTTTAAAGGCGCACAATGTAAACGCTATGCAAACTGTAGCGTTATCTTTTTGTGTTTTTATGGATCCCAGAAGAGAAGAGTTTGATGGAGTTTTGCAGTTGTTGTAATCCTACACTTTTATGAAGACTTTGAGGCTGTATTTGAATACCAGTGAAATTTAATAATAGTATATCATTACTGAAAACTCAATTCCAAAAGTTTGGGACTTCATAAAGTATATTTTATAAAACTGCAAGTTTACTTAATTATGCAAAGTTATATATTGATTAGGTGAAGTTAACAATCAGCACTTTATTGGCAATATTTCCTAAAACATACTTGTAATGTATTTTTTGTAAAGTAGTACTTTTCTTGACGTATTTGTAATTGTACTTGTAGGCTATTAGAAGCAGGTGTATCACTAACATTAGTCACAAAAATATAAAATAGTATAAATAGTTAAGTTACTAGTAGTAGAAGCACCAACTGTAACAGTACTAAGGTTATAATGGTACTGTGGTGGTAGTAAAGGCAGCAAAATTTTCTGCACATTAAATACTGTTAAAACCAGTTTAGCTGAGTTCAGATTTGAAGTATTTCCTTCTCTGAATATGGGTCATATCTCACACATCTGTTTTTGAGCAGAGAAACACATCTGGACAGAGGTGATGACGAGGAGTTGTGACTGGAGCTTGTAGTGTTTGGCAGATCCAGGCAAAAGAAAAAAAAGTACTGAAGTGACATTGGCAGTAAGAGGGACCATGTTGGACTACAGACTCTAAACAGTTGTGGTCCAAAGTATAGAGGTAAAAGTACACAGGGACTGCTCTCCGAGTCCTGTAAGTTCCTGTATCACTGGAGACATCATGCAGAGAGGGAAGAAAAATAGTAGCCAGTGGTTTCTCAAAGATTGGTACTTTGATTTCCACTTGGACCACGTGCGGTCATTTTGTTCTTGGGTAAGCAGCTACACCCACATGACCTAGTATGAATGGTGTGTGCATCTGTGACTGGTGTGATGGTTGGAGGGGCTGATGGTGCAGATTGGCAGCCTCACTTCTGTCTAGCCCAGGGCAGCTGTAGCTAAAGAAGTAGTTTACCACCACTGAGTAGTGAGTGAAGGAATGTGTGTCTGTAAAAGAGCTATAAAAGACTACTATATGATTCATCTAATGTAAAACAGCCTATTACATACCAGGCTAATGCTTCTGATTGAGGTATTCAAGGTCCTGGCTCTGGTTGGAGAAGGAAGTGCTTCTCCTGACAGATCAAAAAACAAAAGGCAAATGCAAATAACAAAATGCCTTGTGGGTATTGTATAGATTTTTTCTGACAACATTCTGTTTGGGAAAATGTGAGTGAAGTATCCCGCTACTTTCCACCACTGATCATGTGCAGTGACTCTGACTATTGAGGTTCTGGGTCATAGAAAGTCATTGGAAATACAATTTATATTTCTCTTTCTTTCTTTTCCATCTGGATTTGTCAGCTGCTTGGCTCTGAAAGACATCTTCATCAGAAAATAGGAACAGAATTATTTCAACATTAGAAAGTGCATAGTACAGATCCATATACATACAAGCAGCTACTGCTACTTCTACCACTGCCACTACAGTGGTAGTGCTACTTTTATTACTAGCTCCACTGTTATTAGTGTTCCAACAGGATTGCAGCAAATACAGCTATTAGTACTATTACTAGAATGCATAATAGAATTAAGTTACTTTCCATCCAAATGGTTTTGTCATATATTTCTGCCCTTCAGTTTTACATCTGTTTTTAGGCAAGGCCAGTTTATTTGCAGAGAACAATTCCAACACAAACCAATTCAAAGTGCTTTGCACTAAAATTACAATACAAACAAAAATCAAGACATAAATAATCATTGTGAATTTGTAATTATAATTAACTGCTATTAATACTACTATTACTACCTACTTCTATTACTACTGCTACTTCTACACACAAACATGTTCTAAAATGCGTTTGATTCTTTGATTTGTTCAGAAGTTTATATTTCAGTGTGTTGTCAAAGGAGATTGGCTTAAGTTGCCTTAAAATGTGTGAACTTGACAAAACAAATCACAAATAGCAAAAATTTAAACTACAGTTACCACCAGGACTACTACAGCCTCCAAATCCTGTGCACCTCACTCCATCCTATAGGATCTACCTAAACATGCAGTTCTTAAAACACGCAGAGACCAGGCATGGGGCAACTGGTGTTCCCATTTGGGTTTTAGGACACTGAATCTCTGATTTGTGTATCTGCTTTATTTCTCTGTCTGGTATGCGGCTACTTGGTGCCAAATGAAACAATTACTGGACTTCACAGACAGCACATGTTTAGTTGGGCCTGGTGCGAGCAGATTCAATTACTTTATTTTGACATTGAATTATTGGCGTCAGATCTCTTCGGGGATGCTCCCAGTGGGATTTGGGTGGTGCTGGTTTCTAAGTTGTTCTCAATATTTGGATAGGCTAAGCAAATGGCAAATGTGTAATAGGGAATGTTTTATTAATTTTGGGTTAATCTTAGTTTTGAATAAGTCACGTAACATTCAGATTTTATCTCAAGTAAAAAAATATTTTCCAGGGCTGAAGCAACAAAACTTTGCTGATTGCAAATTACAGCTCTAATAAATATAAATATAGGACATTGTCTGGCTTTTTTCCATTTCTTTCAATAA